TTGTATTTTTAAAAAGAATCTTATTAAACGGTTTATTGTTCAAATGGAATACCAGAAAATACAGATGGCATTCAAATCCTAGAGGAAAATGCTGCGTTTGATGGGACTCCTACAGGCTGTTTCATTGCACTTGGCACCCCTCCCTCATAGCCAATATGCAGCTTGTGTTATTCCTATCTGTGACAATCTGCGCTTTGCTTTCAAGTTCCATCTGGTCTTTCAGATCCATGCGGCGCTGCAGTGTGTGGGGAGATAACCCTCCTCATAACGCGGAAATAACCAACGTGTTAAGAAACGGCTTCGTATCGGTTTTTGCCGTGTGTAATGGAGCTGTGTGTGTCCACTGTTTTAACCTCCTGAGACCCGAGCTTTTATTTGGCATGCATTTTAGCTTTTTTTTTAAAGATATATGAGATACATATTTAATTAAATGTTTTTACAATTTTGTTCTGACAGTCCCATTGACTCATTTACAGTTTTTCTATTACACAATAAGAACATGATTGGATGGAAATGTATAAAACCATTTTACTTTAGATTTCAAACAGTGTCTGATAGCATCTGCTATGAGGTCAAGAGGTCAAAGCTGAAAGAAAAAAAGAAGTATCATGGTAAAGAGAGACAAAAATGCAACGTCCTCTTATGAGGACACAGGGTCTCAGGATGTTAAGATGCGTGTGCTCCTGTTTGCACATGCAGATACAGAAACCTCTAATTCGGCCTTTCACGTGCAACAGGTCTCAGTCAAGTTGAAAATAAACTTTCCGTGCTGGGTAAATATTTCAGTTTGAATTTGAACTGGCAGCGCACACACAGCCCACATTCGACTCCTGTGACATAGCGTTTCTTTGACTTTTTCTTCATCTGGTAGTTTGGTGCTTGTCCTTCTTTCTCTGGACCGGGGGCCAGAGGGATATTGGGAGGCTGCTGTACTGGTAACACGGAGGTGACCTGGTTTTGTGCGGGCTTCCTCCTCACCATAGGGGTTCCTTTCTGAAATGGGGCCCTAATCCAGCTAATCCATCCTCTGCACGCATATGGACACACGTGCACACACACAAAGATGTGGGGAGCCACATGCATGTCCCCGAAACATTACTTGCGCGCAGGCATAAAAGAGCGTGTTTTTAGGTGACGGAAAAAGGGCCGTAGTAGCCTCTGATACGTCACATGAATGGATGACATGGTTATTTTGTGTTGAAGTATTCGTGTGTGATGGTTTCCTGGTGAATGTCCTCCGACACCAGCAACGTGCACAGGAGTTTTAGGACTTGGTTGAACGTGGGGATGCATTTGTTCATCCAAATTTAGGGCTGCTGCTGTCAAATATAAGAGATGTGCTCGGGGTGGAGTTGTGGAGTGTGTGTGTGTGTGTGCGTGGGTGTGTGGGTGTGGGTGTGGGTGTGTGTAGCATGGAAAACAGAAAGTTGGCAAGGGGAAAGGGGGCTGGGCTGGCTTTGACAGAGGGGCTGGGCTGATTGCCATCATGATCTGGCCAATCACAGAGTAGAGCTGAATAGAGCAAAGAGAGAAAATGGGAGTACAAAGAAGAGGGGAGTTCAGAACTAAAAGAAAGAAGGGGGTGATGTCAGTTCCTTAGAAACCTACTTTCTATCCTTTCATGCCCATTGCCCCCCTCCATTCTTTTACTTTGAGAATAGGGGGGACCAGGGGTTAATGTTATGCAACATGCTGAATACCCACACTGAGGGCTCCACTACAGTGGCATACACAGGCCTCTTCTCTTTTCTTCCCTGTGCAATTATAAGAAAAATAATTCTTAAGTTAAGTTGCTCGTCAGGCATGGGTTGCACTTTGATTAACAATGCGCATGCACAGGTATCCAATGCCTAACTTTACTCTTCTGGTTTTAAAATTGCCATTTCTCAGGCCTATGGTCAGGTTTATTACTGTTGAAGAAGGCAGATGGATACTGTTGAAAAGCTGTTGGCAGTCAAATTTCGAAATGAACTTCAGTGGAAGAAAAACTGGCAGTTCAGGAGAGAAATGAAAAGTAATTATACATTATAATCAGATCAATATTTCTGTTTAAACACATAGAGTGCATTTTCATTTCTTTTGTGCTCCCTATTTGGACCCAGTGCTACATGCTTCCTTCTCCTCTTTGTACCCCTTGTTGGACTTCAGTATAGCCCTACAATAGCCCAGATTTGACAAATTTACTCTAGCTCCAGAAAAAACGATTTGCTTTCTACTAATTTGGTTGCAACATTAAGGCAAGCTGAGTGTGAGTGTGTGCAGTTGTTCATCTTTGTGTGTCTCTGTGTGGCCCTGTGTGGCCCTGCGATGGACTGCCAGACCGTCCAGGGTGTACCCCCCCCGACCCCATTAGGGAATAAACGGTTACGAACATGGATGGATGGGATGGATTAATGCAAGCTAGATTCATTACCTCATCTCATGTGGTAAACGGATGGGATTCTCAGATTTGAGCGTTTCCCAGTTCTCGTCAAAACACTCGAGTGAATTTAGGCTTTAACCTTCGAATGGGACATGATCACGTGGACACTGTTGCGTGGAAACCAAATCTGCCATCTGATGGTCTATCTCCGGCTGTATTTCGCAGCTCTTGACTCAGCTCCCTCTCTCTGCCCATGTGGCATCTGGGCTCCCCCTCCTGTTGTCTTTTCTCATGTGTATAATGGAGGATCATGAGGGGCTAATTGTTTAGGTCAAGGTATGTGACCCGCAGCTCTGTCATAACAAACACAATAGCAGTGGGTACAAAGGAAGTAGTTCTCTGGACAGGGATTCTTCAGGTGAGTTAGCAAGTGTCCAAGTATGATTTATAAAATTAAAAAGAAGAAGAAGAAAAATGGGTGACGTTCTACCCGTGTATGTCTGGTTGAAAGACAGAATGACTTCCTTTTTATGCCGTAGGTTCCCCTGTCTGTGTGTCATCTGATGATGTCCAAACGCCGTGAGGCAGAAAATGGGCTTCCATGAGAAGTGACAATTTGTTTGGGTCCCAGCTGCTGAGCCCGAGGCGCGACACCTTCCAGTTATCGGCGCAACGCCGGGTTCAGCCAGTTTTTCCTTAGGAGAGGGAATATGTGTCACTGAAGAAACACAGCTGTGTGTACACACGCTGATCCGCAGATCCTTGCACGTAGGCAAACCTACGCGCGCGCTCACATTTCCCCGCTCCAGCTGGGGTGTTAATTTCACCCCGAGGCGGTGCGAGTGTTGACCCCAAAACTTTGTAACCTCGTGAAGTGTGGAATTCTCCGAGCCCGAGGCTGTAATGTGCCGTTTCCTGTGGAAGGAGAGTGCATTCCTTTGACCCGTCCCGTTCCACGCCGCTGGCTGGCCGGGAGCTCGGGGTCTCTTGGTGGCAGCTCGCAACCCCCGGAAAGAGTTCCAGCCCCACAGAGAGCTCTTCTAAGCATGGCCCTCCCGCCTCTTTTCACAGGCTGTAGGCGGATGCGGCCTCCTCCGTTACCTGTGTTCTCTTCCTCCCCTCCGGCGGCACAAAAAGCCCGAGGCTTTGCCTCCGAGCGCCCAGTGCGTCAGACGGGTCGACTTGTTAGTGCGCTGTCAGTACAGCGTCGGGTCTTAATCGGTTCCATGCGCGCTCCTTTTGAAGGCAGCGCCGGTGGAACGTAGCGGCGTTGGGCCAGCCTAGCGAGGGAGAGCATGTCGCTCTGGTTAGCCGGGGCCTGCTATTAATGATGAGTATTATAAACATGCCTTTCGACAGGATCAGATGGGAATGCCGTTTGGGTCCAGAAAAAAAGAAATCAAGTGTGTTTTCTTAATGCCCCAAGACATGATCCCCTCCCTCCCTGTTCTATTGGTCTGACTAGGTGGTCCAGTCCAGCAGAACAGGCATGCTTATGTTCAACTTTAATGCCATTACAATGGAGTAAAAACAGTCGGCCCATGCCTGCTGTTGCACGCATTTAGCCCAATTGTTAAATTGGATTAAAGCATAATAAAATGTTACAGATTTTTCACACAGTAATCTCTCTCACTGGACATTTTTCTTCTGGTGTGTGGGAGAGGGGGAACGGGTAGAAGACGATGACTACAGATTGCCCAAGCTTTCACTGAGCGTTTAGGCTGTGATGATGGAAGGGCTCAGATCCTCTGGCTGTGAACCGGGAACACTGATACACAGGATGCACACACACACACACACACACACATACACACACACACACTTCATCACTGACTTTGGTGTGAACTTTGAGGGGAAGAAAAGTTCAAATGAAGCCAAGCAAACATTTGTGAAGTGTTTTTCTTCTTGATTGAAATTGAGGAGTCAGCCCATCCACACATGGGCCTGTGCAGACACCCTGCCAGACTTTTCCATGGCCGCACTGGGGTGGAGCAGGTCAGCTAAGTGGCCTGAAAGGAAGCTTTAGTAGCTTTGGCAAGCTCAGAGAGCACGCAAAGGGCTTAGTCTTACTACAATACCGAGAGCAGAGCCTCTCTATCAAAAACACACACGCGGTCCCACACACACACACACACACATGCAGCAACTGTGCTGCTGACTGGTTTGTAAATCTGGGTTAAAACGCCGAACTCATTTTGAAATGTGGATTTGATGAGGTGATGTTATTGCTGTGGTTTTAGGGAAAAAAAGGGAAAAAAAAGCTGTGCCATTTGTCATTGTAGTGTTACAAGCTTGAAGTAAGCAAAATGTTTTTATCTTAGAAACAAGGCTGATGTCCTGATCTGACTGAGGAGTCTATGCAAAAAGAACAGATGCTATTTAAATATCAAAACCAGAAGAACACTCGGGCTGTTTTCTGTAAATCCTTTTGAGGTAATGTATTTGGGAGAGTTTAAGATTACAATTGGTTGTTTGTATTTGATAAAAGCATCATCTGACAGACATCTGATCTCTTGCATCAGTGTTCTTTGCCAAGAAAAAAACAGGATGTGTATCATGGCATGTGTCACTGGCCTGTAGCCATTGTGTATATCTGTAGAAATGTCAGATGAATTGTTTTGTCAAACAGGATTTCATGATGGCTCACACCAATGCCGTTCTCATATGTGTAGCCCTGACATTGCTCGCCATTCTTTGTGCAGTTGGGGGACGTGTGAACCAGGAGCTGAGGTACACGCGGCAGAAGATAGGCGAGGAGGCCATGTTTAACCCTCAGCTGATGATCCAGACGCCGCGGGAGGAAGGAGCCAATGTTCTAACGGTGGACGCCCTCCTGCAGCACCTGGAGTCAGCCATTCGAGCCAGCAGAGTTCATGTTTACCTTTACAACAGGTAGCCAGCCGGTCTGTCTCTGCCTGTGATCTGTCTTACCACTTTTTAACAGTGCAAATCTTGTCGGTTTGAAATATTAAAACTATTTATATATCACATGTTTTAATTCCCTTTTCAGACAATGGAAATTGGAACACTTATGCTACAAATCAGGAGAATTAGTCACAGAAACGCCTATGGACCAGGTAAGATGCAAAGGTTGCATTATGACTGTTCATTTCTTCTATCCTCTGGATCCTAATGTGCATTGTCAGCCGTCAGTTTGTTTAAATCCTGCTTTGTGCTCATGACATTAGATTATAGAAAGGCTTCATCCCTGCCTCATCATCACCCCTTTGGACTGTTTCTGGGAAGGGGCCAAGCTTCATTCTGGAACGGTCTATCTCCCGTAAGTATAAGACATCCCATCATAAACACAATCCCAATTCTTAGAGGACTCTTCTCATTACACGCATGTCAGCGCAACATATCATTAGTTTGAGACGTTTCTGTCGAAAATATAGGATATTGATCAAATGCTTGAAATAGCTTAATTAAACACGCATAATGGCCTCCGTTTTTGTCAGGCCTGTCACCAAACGGATTCAGAACGGGTGCGCTGAGCTCACCAGCGACGGTTACCCCATTAAATTCTATGTCAGCATTACCAGGATGCTCAGGGCAGAGTGAAAAGAGGGGATGTGAATCTCTGCATCTCGCTCCTGCAACTCTGACACACTCGATTCATGTGAAGAGACACGGCAGAGGAGCGAGTACGTGTGTGTGTGTGTGTGTGTGTGTGTGTGTGTGTGTGTGTGTGGGTGGGTGGGTGTTTGTGTACTGCACTCGTCCCCTCTGAAGGCTCTATTGTAGTGGTTGCTGGCATGCGTATCGCTGGCGATAGTTTCTCTCCAGCCCTGGGCCTCACACCATTGTCTGGCCGCTCTGTTGCTAATGGCCTGCTGCTACAGTAATACTCAACAGACCTTTACCTCCGCATGGGTTTGTGCATGCACGTAGTGTGTGCCTCTCCCGCCGGTGCATACATGTGTTTTGTTGGACGTGTGAAGGCGTATCAGGCTTGAATTGTCGTCCGCAGAACCGGCTTGCATGTGAGTTTGTCTTGCCTGTGGGTTTAAGACGGCAAATAAGGGTTTTTACTATGTTCTGGTTGGAAGGCTTGGAATAATAACCCAAGCCTGGTTAAGCACATACAATGTAGTCTGAATAACAGAGAGAAAGAAAGATTCAGAGAAAGAGAGATTGGAATGTGTGAGGAATAGAAAGCAAAGAGAGACATGGTCGGACTGGAGCAGCAGTTCGGCTGCTGCATGATGGGAAATGGTTTGCCTAACATAAGAAGAGATCATTTGCTGCTCTTAAAAGTTTGACTTTAGATTCATAAAAGTCTTCTAGAGAAACATGATCCCCTCTGTTTCCCTTTTAAAATATTTCTAATAGCTTGTGCTCTGAGGACAGAGTATAGGATAAGATGGAATTCAATCATACATGGAACAGACACAGTGGCATAACAAAACCATACGTTGTGTAAAAAAATCCTTTTCAACAGAAACAGTAAAATCGATCAAACAACATTTTTTTTTACACAACTTTAGACACCAGTAATTCTCATTAGCACTAATCTTCCAAAATGTTCTTTCCTCTGGGTTAATTTGAAAACCGTGAAGCTCAGTTTTACTTGTCGTTCACTTTGCAGAGGTAAGGATCCTCTACAGTGGACCAACTTTGACCCCAAGGAGTTCCTGGAGGACTTGCGACGGGCAAACATCGCCGTGGAAAGCTTCGAGGACATGTTGGAGAAGGCGGACGTCGGGCACGGCTACATGGATAGACCCTGTCTGAACCCTGCTGACCCCGACTGCCCCCTCACCGCACCCAATAAGAACTCAACTAAGGTAGGCACGCGGCTAGCCTACAGCCTTTTCCTTGTAATATATCTGTATATATGTGTAAGTTTGGTGGGAACGCGGCTGCTGACGGTTCTCTTTCTTTATTTCACCAGCCATTCGACGTGGCGCGGGCCCTGAGCGGCGGCTGCCACGGCCTGTCCAGGAAGTACATGCACTGGCAGGAGGAACTGATCGTAGGAGGGACCACCAAGAACGGTAGTGGACCCTTGCTCAGGTAACAGTAACACACACACACACACTTCCATGGCAAGTGCTCTCATTCCAGGGAGAAACTGTGTTATTTGTTCTCTTACACTCTCCAAAGTGGCACATGCACGTGTGCGCTGTGCGCTATAAATCTTGCAGTCATTAGCAGATTCCAGTGAAATCTTAAGAGCTCCAGCTGTTCTCGCTCAGCTCTGGCTGCTTGGACACTGCCCACTCTCTCTCACACATACACACACACACACAGACACACACATACACGCGTGGACCAAGTGATGTATAGCCTGACTAGTTTGTTCAAATATACAGCGATTTGGGTTACACAGTCTTCATTTCTAAGACAAGCACCAGGTCTAGAATATGTAGTAAATTTAAAGACTTTTAATGTACATGTTTTTTTTTTTGTGTGTGTAAAGCAGCAATGTAAAACAGCAATTTCACGCAGGAATTTAAACATGTTTTCTCTGCTGCTTTAAAAGGGATCTTACATTTTGCTCACAGATATCTTACTTGAATGCTAAGCTTCACTTAGCACTTACACACAAAGGCACGCACCCACACACATACACACACACACACTGGTCACAGAGTACAGTGGGCTGCGTTGTTTGTGTTTTGTGGTTGTGTGCTTTCCTGGCAAGGTAGGGTCATTAGAGTGTCTGTGCGTGCCTGCACGCCTGGATATGTGTGTGCTGGGCTAATGCCGCTGGCACCCTGTCTCTGTATCTTGTTTACTCACTGCCACCATTACTGTGATTATCACCATATTACAGAGATCACATTCATAAAGAGAATGACAGCGTAATGTCTACCCCACTGCTTGGTAACATTTGGATGATGTGAAAGTACACAGACTGACTCAACCACCGGTTATAAGGTGCAGTCTCTTCCAGACCCATTGGTTAGAAACGACTCGGCTATATTACTGTATTACCTTGTTAATGTTCTCATTAAGAATGCGCAACTCTCATTATAGTTGATATTATGGCCTTTGTTATCAGAAGGGAGATAGTGGAGCATGTCGGTGAGGACTGGTAGAAATGTTGGCCCATTTAATTGCCACTATAAGATCATTGAAGAGGGGAAGGCAAATTCCTCACAGTGGTTATGGGGATTGTTGGTGAGCTATTCAGTTTTTGGCGTGTAGATACGTTTTGAAAGAAAATATTGCTAAGGTGACAATAAGGGAAAATTCTCAGAAAATTCCCTCAGAAAATTCAGAAATTTGATGGCATTTGATCATTAATAGACTCTCAGACATGATGGTTGGTAATATAGGCCTTTGATGTAGCTTTCTCCTAAAAAGGGTCACCCTGGACTGCTGCATGTTTTAGAGCAACAAAACAACATTGTATGGTTTAATTATTTGGAAAATTAGTTTTAGAGCACCATAACACAATGTGTTAGCAGTCGATTAAAGAATTTTTGGGGTTTGTATTTCACATTTTCTCTCCCAATGCTGACTCAATTCATGTCTTAGTTTAGGGTAACTTCCCAAATACACTGACATTTCAGATAAAACATCACAGAGTTGGAAGCTAAACCAAGATGTTGTGTGCTTGTTGGTCATGGAATCAAACAAAGGCACTAACTGTTCTGTTCTGAACTTTTACAAATCCAATTTTCTGTATCACATGTACAAGCCAGCTCATCACCTTGTTTGATCCTTTCCTCCCTCTTTTTCCACCTCTCCTTGTCCCCCCCCCGGCTTTGCCATCCTCCCTTCCTTCCTCTGCCCTCTGCAGTGCCCAGGCCTTGCAGACCATGTTCCAGCTGATGACTCCCAAGCAGATGTTTGAGCACTTTCGGGGCTACATAGAAGTTTCCCAGATCAACTGGAACGTGGACAAGGCTGCGGCTATACTGGAAGCCTGGCAGAGGAGATATTCCGAGGTAAGGCCAAAGAAATAAAAGGAAATGGAGAGATTCAGAAAAGAGGAAAAACGACAGAGAAGAACAATCTCGCCTAAATCCTCAACCACCGTACAGTAAATCACCAGCCGGATATAGGTAAAGGCCTCATCTAAAGCCGGGCCCCTGATAGATGGTGGATCCACTGCTGGTGTGTGGTATGGGGCTGACGGAGCCATAGAGCAACAGGATGAGCATGTCTGGAATACATTAAGAGTGCTGGATATCTCTCGTCTTCTCTCTCTCACACTAGCTCCCTCCCTGTCTTTACCTTGCACACAAACACGCACGCGGCGAAAAAACACAAAGCTCACACACAATCGCTTTTCCAGCTGTGGCCCCATTGGTGGCTCATGTGTGACATCATCTGGTCTTTGTTTTGGGGGCCCCAACTTCCATTCTGCATGGTGAAATCCTGTGTGTAGATGTGTATTTGAATAAATCGTGCAGTGAGTGTTTGTGTGTGTGTGTACACCATTGCACTTTCCGGTACGTAATCATGGATGATATAGAAAGTACAAAAAGAGGCCAAATGTTGTTAGTGGGAATTGTCGTGGCGTGCGATGCTGATGTTTAGGCACATCTGTAAGGCTACGCCCCCGTGTCTCCGTGTGTTTGACACATGTATGAGTTAACCATGGCTGCGGCGAGTGTGTGTGATATAGTGTGTGTTTTGTAAATTGTGTCAGCCTCCATTGCTCCCCGCTGAGCTGTAACTGTATTTCAATGTTGAAACCATTTGACTGCCCTGAGACAGAGGGGAAAGATGGTTCATGGTACAGTCTGGAGACTGTCCTAGGACAGGGGCTGGAGTCACTATTTTTGGGCCGAATTTAGTTTTTTAAGACACATAGGTGTCATTTAGTAATACTGTATCTACTAGTTATTCTTCAAGGAGGTCAGAGATACATTTTGATCATTGGGATGAGGTGTAGTTTTCCTTGAATAAGAACTCCTTCCATCAGGAGTGTACAGTTTTACCGCAGCCTAAGAGTTGCTGGGAGCCCCGAAACTCGGGATCCTCATCCCTGCATTCGGCCCGTGAACCCTGACCTCACTTGCTCTCATCATGGTGCCACCCGACAAAACTGGAGCAGAGAGCAGCAGCTGTTCAGGGAAAAGTTCAGACTTGTAACTGTTCCTGAAACACGTGTGCTGGAAGAAAGAAAATATATCTGTGGATTCCCTCTCACAGCACATCTGACAAGCCTGTCCTTTAATACCTATGACTGAGATTATTCGAGATGCTCAAATCATGAGAATTAGAAAAGCTCATGTGCACACATGGAAAACTAGGGCACAGGAATATTCCACAGAACACAGTGGGGAGGAATCCTATCATTAGCCTTTATTTTGCACCGAGTTTATTTGTGTTTAACATAAAATCGTGTATGAAATTGTTCACCAACAAAACCATTGTTCTTCACACACTATACATACACAGCTACTAAACCCCATTTTCCATGTCGATGCAGATACCTGCATTTGTGTAGCTTCTACTATAAGTCAAACACTTTCTGTTCTTAAATGATCCTTTCTTCTTCCAGTACTTTCTGTGGCTCCTTTGATGTGTTGGACTATATTTATTTTAATCCCTCTCTCTTTAGGCAGTGCTGCAGAGCGTGGCAGCCAATTCGTCTCAGAAGGTCTTGTCTTTCACCACCACCACCCTGGAGGATATTCTCAAGTCTTTTTCTGACGTCAGTGTTATCCGTGTGGCCAGTGGATACCTGCTGATGGTAGGAGCGCCGCTACGAGAAGAAAACATTTTTTGTACCATTTTTGGATTAAAAAAAAAAACACTCAGTTAAAGAAGCTTGATTCTTCTAATTCTACCAGCTGGCTTGAGAGGACGGAGAAATAACCGCTCTGCTTGTTTGATGTGTGTGCTCAGCTGGCCTATGCGTGTCTGACCATGCTGCGGTGGGACTGTGCCAAGTCTCAGGGCGCTGTGGGGCTGGCCGGTGTCCTTCTGGTGACACTGTCTGTGGCAGCTGGTCTGGGCCTGTGCTCTCTCCTGGGTATCTCCTTCAATGCTGCCACCACGCAGGTAACTGGCACACACAATCACACCAGTTAGCAAAAGGTTTACCAAAGATCCGATACCCACTCCCAATCTCCATAGTTATGATCAGGTTAGTCAAACAACTGGGTATTAGCTTCTGTGATTTTTAGTTTTTATTTCATGTTAAAAAATTGAATTAATAAGAATATCTTAGATTGACTTAATACCAACTTATTTATGGGATAACAGAGTATGCTTGGTGCCTTCTCTGTTGTGTGGCCCATTCCTTCCATTTGTACCGTTTCGTCAAATCGCACACTCAAGCTCTACGGCTACGACACGGGCTTAAACTGCACGGATTTAGTGCTTATGTTTTAGGGTGGGGTGTGGGATTGGGCCCGAGAGAGTGAGCGCACGGGCCCGCTTTCATGTCCTGGAAGGTCCAGGTGAGCAGGATTAGCTGACAATCCTCTCAAGTTGCCTTCCAAAATGGCTTATGACCTCCTACAGAACAGAGGGTGGAGCGGCACAGCTGCAGAGACTGGATACTTATGTTTTTATGTTTAGACTCAGCCTTAAAACATGTTTTGACTATTCATAAAATCGGGGACAGTTGCCAGATACCACTTTTTCGACAAAAGCAGTTTCCGTGCCGGTTAATAGTTGCTTCTTAATTGAACTGACAAAAAACTAGTTGGATTTTCCGCAGTCCCAGAGTCACATCATGATATTAATTTCAAACTCTCTTCCAAAACATGTTTGAAGTGACTTTCCCTTCACATGCAGCTAGTTCTTTTGTGGTTCTGGTTCTGATCCTGCACTGGGCCTGCTTTGGTGAAAAAAGAAAATCTTACCTCATTAAATATTTACGGACTTGACCCAAACAGTTGATATTGAGATACATTTGTATTTGTTATTTTAGAAATTTCAGAAAGCCTTGGCTGACTTCCAAGAAAAACTAGTTCAAACTGAGAAAAAGACGAATAACAAGATGCCAGTTTGTGCCAGTAGATGGTATCGATACACGTTTTGCCGCTCGGTTTATGCAGAGCGTTCAGCTTGAGTAATCCTGAGATTTTTTGGTAAGGGGTGTAAATTAGCTCTGTTAGCTACCTACAGTGCTCCTATTTGTTGTTTAAAAAACTTAATTCATAACACCTCAAAACACTTAGAAATAAACTTAATTCATAACACGTGAGTTTATTGTTGTAAATGATGGTTTAGGGATTTTCCCTGTGTTGTTTGTAAAACATAAACTCTCTACATGTATCCATTTTAGGCCACTGTATGTTTTTGCTCTGGGTAGATTAAATTTGTTCAAATAAAGGTGTTAAATTCAGTGAGAACAAGATTGTTATCACTGGCATCCCTTTATCACACTGTAAATAGTGCATGGGGTTGTTCTGCTATGGTTCCAACCCAGAACAGCCCAATAATGAGTGAAGACGTACAGGAATTAATGTGCTTTATGTCTTCCAGGTTCTCCCTTTCTTGGCTCTGGGAGTTGGTGTAGATGATGTCTTCCTTCTCGCTCATGCCTTCAGTGAGACTGGACAGAACAAGAGGATCCCATTTGAGGTTAGACAAACGTCCATGTTTATGCCGTACTGACCCCTCTTGATGTCTTATCTTCCCCGTAGAGGAATGTGTAAAAGCTTGTCGGTGCTTGTGGTGTAGGTTAGCGCAGCCCATGTGCCACCCACTCAACCCACTCATCCAACCAATGAGTGTATTCACATGAGCTAATATATATTATATGATTGTGTATACACTGTATCTCTCTCTCTCTCTCTCTCTTTCTCTCTCTCTCTCTGTATATGTATATATGAATATACATATATATACATATACATATATATATACTAGAATTGTTTTGGCACATAGTGCAAATAAATACAATCTTTTAACATTCCTTCATATACTGAGGCCTATTTCAAGAATAGCTTGGGTCAACAGTGAATTTAAAAGTAGATCAATATCAAACAACAAAATTAAAACCCGTTTGAAGCGCTTCCAGTGGTGTAAATAACTCATATATTTTTGCAGCCTCTGGTGGGTTGAGCATGTTTGGATTTAATTTCCAGCGGGGGGAAAACACAGGCATGTATTTGCTTGTTTTTGTTTTCCACTGTTTCCCTCCGCTTCCAGCTCTGGTCTCTCCGTCTCCCTCATCCCCCAGCTTCCTTTGTGTGACAGAGATGAAAACTAAACAGAGCTGAACTTGATCTCCCCTGTACGCAAACACACACACAGGCAGAGATGCACATGCCTGCAGATACACTCCCTGTGTGGTCCTGCACGTCCTCAAATCTTCACACAGTTGCCGCCAAGTCTTCCAGGAGCTGTGTGCATTGTTATCTTCTCTGTGTGTATTTACAGGGGGATGGGGGGGGGGGGGGTTGTTCGGCAGCACTGATCTTGCAAAAGCATTGGTCATTTTGTTCTTTCTGCCCTTTTTCTTAACACATCAAAGTGAAGCTGACAGGCTTAGGTGGATTTATCTAAGCACTTCAGGGCTTCAGAAATGAAAGCAATCACTGTCAGTCATACCACTATTATGATAATTGTACATAATCTCAAGTATTACATCTTTGCCGTCGGCTATAACTGATCGAGCTTTTCCTTTCATTTGTCACCCTTTTGTTGTCTGTCAGGATCGTACGGGGGAGTGCCTGAAGAGGACAGGGGCCAGCGTGGCCCTCACCTCCATCAGTAACGTCACAGCATTCTTCATGGCAGCCCTCATCCCCATCCCGGCGCTCAGAGCCTTTTCTCTGCAGGTATGTTGGATATAGTGGAGCCCCACTAAAAAGCTCCTGTCCTCATTGGCTCCAGTGTTCAACAGACCTTTGTTTTATTGATTTAATCTATCAAATAGAATATGTGTGTATTGAAGGTGTATTTTGTTCAAAACCACCCACCTTCTTTCTTGTCGGAGGCCAATTGGTGGAGGGCCCGGTGTCTGTCCAGATTGTGGCTGAGGCTCATGTAACTGAATCCAACTGTGTATGCGCATGGGTGTTCTTGTATGTCCTGATGTCCGTGTGTATGTGTGAGAGTGGAGGGTTTGGAGTGTCTGTGTTGGTGGTTTGAAAGGCAATGAATAATTGTGTGTGTGTGTGTGTGTGTGTGTGTGTGTGTGTGTGCGTGTGCGTGTGCGTGCAGAAGTTGGGGACTCAGAGGGGAGCTCTCACTTCTCTAACATCTGTCGGTAATTATAGACATCACCAGAGCAGGGTTTAACAAAATGGAACTCTTCTAATCGCTGAATCGCGCACAAACGCTTTTTATTCATGTATGATAGTTGAGTCTTTGCACTACTTTAATGGTGCTAAAATAACCCAACTGATGTTTATTGAACTAGATATGTGGAAACAAAAATGGTTTGAAAGACACATCTATGAAATAGAGACTGGCTTTAAGTTAGTTTTGTCAATCTTGGTTCCAGCATGTGTCACTGCTGTGCTAAAAGTAAGTCTTTCAAAAGATTTGCAGCGTTTTTTTTTTACCGAAAAGTTGAGTGGAACTTTATGTCCTTGTGTTTTAAAGCAGCTTTAATTAGTATTTAGTTCTGTACTCTTATTTCTGAGCAAAAAAAAACTTTTATCCCCACAGCTGCAATGTTCATTAAATATGATGCTTTCAAACTTTGAAAAATGCTCACATTCAATATTTTGAGCAGTCATATTTCTAAAGAACAGTATAATTTCAGGGATTTGACTACTTATTTGAGCAAAAATAGAGATCCTTCTCTCTCCTTTCTCTCACTGTCCCACTCCATTCAACACAAATGTGCACACTTGGAGTGAGATAAGATGTCACCACTTTGAGTGCGATATTAGCATGTGTTGATAGATGGCTTTACTACAGCAAGTCTGTCAAACATGATCCATTTACCCCACGGGTCTAATCCATGCTGCCTCATTTTAAACACGCACGTACACATGCCATGCATACTTTACCTGTGGTCTAGTGACTGGTAGAGGGCAAGTTTCACGGATAATACACGGCGACCGTCTTTGTGGTGGATCACATCCACACTCGACAGCCATAACCAGCCGTGGTCAGATGTGTTTTCTTTTCTGTCTTCATCAGAATTAAGCGCTTCCCGTTGGGCAACTCCTGCATGGATTTATGTTCCACTATTAGCTTTCTTACATCCTTTAGTCACTCATTTACTTCCCTCCCTTCAGCAGAAACTTAAAAACAGTCACCATGCCATGACAATGACCCAAAAACCTACATGGGGAGGCACATGTTCATAAACGGGGGACAGATTTAAAGATGGATATGTGCACTTTGGGTTCAGCTCCCAGTCAGTTTGTGTGTGTGTGTGTGTGTGTGTGTGTGGTGTCACACAGTGGAGAATAAATGCTCCTGCTCCGTTTTTTCTGTCTTTGACAGGATTTCTCTCAGTGTCTGAGCAGCAGGCTGAGGATATGTGGGTGTCTGGTCGGTGTTAAGGTGTGCTTTAAATGGGAGCCTGCCTTTTTTTGTAAGCTGGCGATAGATACGTCTGCTTTTTTTTTTTTGTGCGTGTGCGTGCACGTGTGTACAGCCGCAGCGCCTGCTCATCACTTCAGGCCCCGCGGGCCTCTGGCTCATTGGGTGGTCTGGCACACACATTTAATTGTGTGCGTGTTTTTTTTTTAGTGTGTGTGTGTGCGAGTAGTGGTCTGGCAACTACGCAACATCCAGATTGTGCTCTGGGCAGGGCCCCAACCTAACCCCAACCCCCACCCTCTGTTTTAGTGCACCACCTTCAAATACCTAACCACAACATTGTACTGGCTTCTTTTTAAACGCCTCGCCTTTTCCCTCCACGTTTAGTGTCGTGGTGAAAAGGCACTCCAAACATGTTAAATGGTAGTTTCTCTCTCAGCTTCTTAACGATGACTTATTCAGATCGTTAGGCTGTTATGTGTTTATTCACGGAATTCCACTATTTGATTGTTTGTACATCCTTTAAAAATTATCCTTCAGTTTTTTGTTTTTTTAAATATGGTTTTCTTTTCATTTAGAGATCTGTTTTTATCTTTTATATATCATCATCTATCTTAGGAATTTGAGATCTTTCTCGCAGAGAAAGGTATTTGTGTTTACTGATGGCATCTGTGGGGTTTTACTCTTATCCAGACTTTTAAACGGCAGAATCTTCAGGCTCTTAGCTTCCATTTTCTATGTGCAATCAACAACATTATCTGTTTCTTTCAGGCTGCTGTAGTCGTAGTGTTCAACTTCGCCATGGTGCTGCTTATCTTTCCTGCCATCCTCAGCATGGATCTCTACCGACGGGAGGACAGACGTTTTGACATTTTCTGCTGCTTCCACAGGTGTGCAAACGCATACAAAGACGTTCTTTCAGATCTGAACACCCGTTCTTTTCTTTTCTTTTTTTTTCTTTTAGATCTCAGACCCGTTGATAAGTTGCAAAACACACACGGTTATCTCCCAAGATAATTTCGCGTTAATGCCCCTCAGTCAAAACGTGTCTTTTTCTGTCTTTGTTCTTTGTAATTTTGAGTTTTGCCTGCCAGCCCGGGCACGCTTGTTGGCTCAGCTTATAGCGTGGATGTGCTTGGTTGTAGGATTGTTTTGCATGTTATGCTGTTGACAGAAAAAGTGAATGCACAAAAGATAACAGTGGGCTCTCAAAACAGATGTAATCCAACGCTTAATTTTACTAATCTAGATTTTCCCCTTAGGGCATTCTGTCATGTGACTGTTTTTTTTGCACTCTGTTTATCATTACAGCCCATGTGCCAACCGTGTGATTCAGATTGAACCTCAGGCTTACCTGGACGGGGCCAACGGGAGTCGCTACAGCCCCCCGCCGACGTATCGCACCCCTCCTCCCTCCTACCACACCCCGCCTCCCCCGAGCTACAGCAGCCCACCCCCCACCTACAGCAGCCACAGCTTCGCCCAGCAGACCCAAATCACCATGCAGTCCACTGTGCAGCTCAGGACGGAGTACGACCCCCGGACCCAGGCCTTCTACACCACGGCCGAGCCCAGGTCTCAGATCTCCGTGCAGCCCATCAACCCGGCCCCCGCCAGGGGCAACCCCAACAACGACTATTACAACAACAGCAGCAGCAGCCCCGGCACCGGCAGCAGTCACGGCAATCTTAGCAACAACAATGGCAACAGAAGCAACGGGGGATCTCGAGGCCCCGCTGCCTTCTCCCATCATTACTCCGGCTCCCCCGCTGCCGCGCCCACCCCCGGCGCCTGTCCGGCCCCTCCGAATGACGCCGCCTCGTCGACCGGTCAGACTTCGGAGAACAACAGCTCCACACGGGACCTGCTGTCCCAGATGGGAGAGGCCTCACTGGGCCTGCGCTGCCTGGAACCCCCCTGTTCTCGCTGGACCCTGGCCTCTTTTGCCGAGAAGCACTACGCTCCGTTTCTCCTGCAGCCCACAACCAAGGTAGGTTGGATTCCATTGTGTGCGTGTCATAGAAATTGGGGAGACAGAGAATGGGGTGAATAGCTTCTGTCTGAGGTAAAGGAGTTTTCACGAGCAAAAAGCTGACTCACTGTGGGGGATCGTTTGAATGGGGAAGTTAGTCACCGGAGTAAACGGAATCTGGGGTGGAGGTTGTGGTTTTGTCCTATCTGAGTCACACACAGTGTCTGACCTCAGTCTGGTGGGTGGTCTGTCATCTCAAAGCCCTCCAGAACTGGAATCATCTGGTGGCCTGTACTTGACATTACAAAGTGTTTTTCTCAATTTCGGCGTACTGACAAATGTTTCTACATTTCATCGCACTGCCTCAGTCAGTTCTGGGATTCTTTATCCGACACCTCCCTTACTGCCGTACGACATCAAGGACCAGTGTTGGCCTTCTTCCTTATGCATTCATCATTTTTTAACCTTGAAATACATTTCAATCAAAGTAAAATTACAGAATATCAACCAGTTTGCGTAAATGTTTAGGCAGAAATCAGTGTACATGGAAATTCTTCGAATTGTTGCTTGAATTTATAGTGAGGGGGAACCATGTGGATGCAGCGTGTCTTCTAACCGAACCAGAAGTCAGGACATAAATCTGGAGAATATTCGGGCGACTGTTATTCATATGTGTACACTTCGGTGTTTCAGATGTCCTCGGTGTTTCAGACGTAGAAGGCTTTCTTTCACTCAGCAGCGTGTTCCTCCCTCTCGCCTCAGGTGGTGGTGATTGTGCTATTCCTCTGCCTGCTGGGGGTCAGCCTGTACGGCACCACCCAGGTGAGGGACGGCCTGGAGCTGACCGACATCGTGCCCAGGGAGACCAGCGAGTACGACTTCATCGGGGCCCAGTTCAAGTTCTTCTCCTTCTACAACATGTACGTGGTGACGCAGCGTGGCGACTACGCCCAGATGCAGCCCCTGCTGCACCAGCTCCACCAGAGGTTCCACACCGTCCGCTACGTGCTGAAGGAGGACAACGGTCAGCTGCCCCCCATGTGGCTTCACTACTTCAGGGACTGGCTGCAAGGTAGCTTTATCTCTGACTTCTGTGGGGGGGGGAAAAAAAAAAAAAAAAACAACACCTCCTTTTATTTCCAGCCATTAGCAAAAACAGAAAAATCTCCCGCAGCGGAGTGCACGTGTGAACAGCAACTTTGGAAAAAGTCCAGACCAAATTCAGCGCATTCTTTTTAACATCTCACAAATTCATCTGCGGAACAGCTTGCCACTTTGGAGAGGGATTCAGTACTAGAAAGTCGTGTAGCAGGGAGAGGACTGTGAATTAAACTGTATGTGATGGTCCAGTTCCTTTCCAGCCACCAAAATGGAAGTGCCACTGAACCAGAGCATTGTCTTTCACACGTCAGCAAAGTCCTAGAATGGCTTTATTTTCAGAGGGAAACACAGTCACTGACTCGCTCTCACTGATAAAAACACACTGTGCGAGTCTGTGTGTGAGCCGGCCGGGAACCACACAGAGAGTGTGTGTGTGTGTGTGTGTGTGTATGAGTGAGAAAGGGGAAGACTGTGTCTGATATTGCTTTCTGCAATGGTGGGACAAATTGGAGCCAGACAGGCCAAGGAACGAGACCCAAAACAACATCTCCCACAGACAGACCACAGCATGGGTCTTGGATGGGGGGGTTGAGTAGAGGGGGTGGGGGGAGGTGGGGGGGGGGGGGACACACACATATGGATTCGAAAGCAGTATAGAGAGGGAGAAACATGTTAGTGATATAGTTCTTAACGATGGTTGTGAATTAAAAGCAGCCGAGATTAGACATCTGAAGTCTTGGCTGGTGGTTGGGAATGGAGTTGTATGAACTCAACGATGCTTATAATAGCGTTAGGATTAGGTTTCAGTGTTGTCTTAAGCTCTGTTTTATTGTGGTGGGTTGTCATGTGTTGTGTTTTCCTGGGAAGAGCGCTTTGAAATGGGAAGCATTAAGGTAACCTTTTTTAAACATCCTCTTGCTGTGGTTTACTACAGGGCTCCAGCAGGCATTTGACAAGGACTGGGAGGCTCGTCGCATTACTCCAACCAGCTACAGAAATGGCTCCGACGATGGCGTCCTGGCTTATAAACTTTTGGTGCAGACCGGACGTAGAGAAAAACCCATAAATTTTAACCAGGTATGCGTTGGAACCTTACCCAATTTTGACTTTGTTTCACTTTGACAAACACTTTGTTTCAGTACAAAGAGCATATATCTGTTTTTTTCAGTATTTTTTTTCCCTGTCAGCTTGATTTTTTCTTTTCTTTTACTGTGATTGAGTCCAGAGTCGCCACACCCTGCTGTTACACATCTCGTTCATTCATGCTTTCCTCTTTCTTTCCTCGTCTGTCTTCATCTTTTCTCTGTGATGACTTTTCCGAGCCCAGAAGTTTAGAGCTCTCGCAGGAGCTTCGGCTTGCCTCTGAAAAACAAATTACCTCCGCGTTTAAACCGTTTGTCAGTTCGTCGGACGCTGAACAGAACCGTGTGCTGTTCCTCTGCAAAGGTGTTTCCCATGTTGGTGTCTGGCCGTGGGAGTTGTGCCCAGCAGTAGCTCTGAGAGGCCACACTTGGCTCTTCCGCTGTCTAGAAAGCACCCGCATTTGATCATCAGTGCTATCAAGTTCACTACAAGTCCATTACTTTGTGTTAAAATTATCTGCCTGCACAACAATTGCTAGGTCTGTTTAGATTTCTACCTAGAAAAAAAATAAAGGCATGCAAGCGAAGTATGCAACGAAAGATGTTATCTTAATCATCTTACAATTTCCAGTTCAGCTGCTTAAGTGAGCCCTGTCTCCAGTCTGGAATTGTAGGAGGTTTTGATATCCAGTAAGGAGTCAAGTCAACCGAGTGAGCAAGCTTGGATCACGGAAGGAGGTCCAGAGAGGAAATTTGCCGAAGATGAAATCAAGTCTCTTCTATATCAGCAGAAAGATGCCAAAATGCTGATAAATTAGATGGAGCAGGGGAGAGAGCAGGGGAAATGAGGGGATACGTTGGCTTTGTGGGGAGGGAAGAATTCACTCGGCCTCAACAGGGCATTGCATGTGTTTTATTTTAGTGTTTTACCAACTCAAAGAAACAACAGATGTGGATGCATGGCTGCATTTTTTGGCAGGAAAAAAATAGAAAAACAGAAGATAAGAAACAAGGAAAAAAAACAAAATCTTGGCAATAATTCCAACAAATTCCTCAAACACGAAACAATCCATATTTCTTTTGACATCCGAGGTCATTTTAATCATACTTAATCCACCCTGCTGTATCTTGTGTTTGTTTTTGTTTGTGAATAAGTTAAAGCCATGTGTATTTTCAGAGTAAATATGAGGCTTTCGCTGTTTTTTTTTAAAATCCTATGCTTGTTTTTGACTCTTTATCTTATCCAGTAATCTGTTGCGACATAGTATTATCCCTCCCGATATGTCTCTGTAGTCGGCAGGAAGCTGAGACAGGCCTTGTGTGCGGCCGTGTGACATCACTTCCTCTGCCTTTGAGGGAACTGTACTCCCCGGGAGTGGTAGGGCCTGCCAACAGAGCTGCCTTGGCTTCCCATGACAGCTTGAAGACATACAGTTGTTGCGTTTCCCGCTGTTAAATTAAATCCAGATCCTCTGGATTCCAGCTCTCGCTCTAGCTCTCCTCTGCTAACTCCTGACCTCTGCGCGCCGCCGCTGTGATCGTTTTCATTGAGGGGATCTGAAACACGTGGTTTCTTTGAGCCGGCTCTGCGTGCATTTGTATGTTTTGAATATGTGTTCCGCCGTCGCAGTAGCTGTTTTCTGCATCTCCAAACGAGGACCAGATCTTTACTGACCCTGACAAATTGCAAAGCTAGATTTTTTATTTTGATTTGACACTCTATGGGTCTGTGCAAAAGAGCTCTGGATTTGATCTATACCTATTAACAATTCTCTGTGCCTGGTGACTGTTTTTGCTTTATGTGCCTGGCTGGAAAATGAGGCAAGAGAGAGGTAAAGTTGTGATGACTGAATCCAGAAATGCGGGGAGTATGAGGAGGACAAAGAAAGGCCACGCTAACTCTATCAAGGGCTCTTTTCTTTTCAGACCCGTGTGAGTCTGTGGCGCCGGCCGGGCATTATGGGTACCCATAGGGGTCAGAAGAACCAAGTGTGAGCAACATTTGTACAGATGTTGTGTTATTTTTATAGCTCTACTCCATTTGCTGGGTGGCATTTCCTTCAGTGTTAACAACCAGGTTAACTGCACACAGACGCGCCCAGGGACTCCAGCCAATTTTTTTATTGTTACGCTAACTCAAGCAATTTTTCTCTCGCCACCCCCCTACTACAAAAAAAAAAGAAAGAAAGAAAACCTGCTCCTTTATGCATCCGCCTAACCCCACGAGTCCAGCTTCACCCCTGAAAGCTCTCCCTGCCTCCGCGAAAGAGGGATTTATGGTTCCTAGAAGGCAAAGTGGCGGAGCAGTACAGTAATGGTTTTACCTCTCGGGAGGCAGCAATGCTAGTTTTCAGCACTTTTCCTTCACACAGGAGGGCTAAAAGAACCGGTCTGAGTGAGACAGCCATTCATTTACAGATTACAATCATCATATCCAGCAACACCAACTGAAATACCCTGAAAAAAGTCTCAAAAGGCACATTGCTGACCATTTGTTCAGGACAAAATCAATCTTTAGAGCTACATCTATCCCAAAAAATATAATGTGAGTGGAGAGTTTATTTAAAGCAATTCTAGTGAAGTCACTTACTTGGACGACTATGTTGGGGGCAGCCAAAATAATTCACTGAGGATGTTTTTTGTTTGTTTGTTTTGGTTTAAACGTTTGGGATTCGTCCTTATTAGCATTCCTGCACGTGAGGGTGAGCTTGTATTTCACACAAGCCTCAAAACATGGCCCATCTCGTTTTCTTTTTAAATGCATCTGCTTACATGACAGCCTATGGCTGCTAGGTTTTATTTGTCTAGGTAAATTATAATTAACTGAGTTCATCTTATTTACTTGTGTTTATTAAAACAGGAAGTATTTGAAAAGAGATGCAGAAACTATATAAGACCAGGCAGGTACACTAATGACTCAGTAAAAAAAAAAAAAAAAATGGAATTAACCATCAATTTGCCAACATGCTGTTTGATATATTTAAACCTTGTAGAACTGTGCTTCAGAGCCACCGGCACTAGCAGCGTTCCACCAGGAGAGCGCTCAGGACACTGGGCTTTAGGTTGGCTCGTATCTAATGCATGCAAAGGGAGACGCTGATTCAACATTTTCTATGTTTTAATGTGGCATGATAATTCTGGGAAACTATGATCAGGAATACGGGAATTTTCAGAAAAGTAACCAGTGTTTGACTTGTTGACTTTTCTTTGGTTGGAAAGAGAGACTCAGATTTTGAAAGGCGCTCCGTTTTCTTGCACTCATGCATTTGTGTAGAGAAGAATTTCTGTGGTTTGCTCACCTGTAGAATGTTATGGTCAGAAATGTCTTATTTTCACAATGCCTTTTGGTTTCCTGAACATACTTGAATGCTGTCAGCAGCACAAACCTTTTCTTTCAACCTTCAGTAGCAATTATTCAGCTTCACAGGTTCCAGCTTGCGGCAAGGCCCGTGGTAAAGCGGATTTTTAACTGTTTGGGTCATTCTTACCATCATTAATTCATCTCTTTTGTGGCTCTGCAGCTCACCCGTCAGAGGCTTGTGGATGCGGATGGGATCATCAATCCTGGGGCGTTTTATATCTACCTAACTGCCTGGGTTAGCAATGATCCTGTAGCCTATGCTGCCTCGCAGGCCAACATCCGTCCACACCCTCCTGAGTGGTTCCATGACCGCACCGACTCCAGGCCTGAGACACGCCTCAGCAGTAAGTTGGCAGACCGTATGGCCTCAAATCATCTTACGATTGAGAGTATAACTGCTTGATAGCATAATAGAATGGAGTCCAGTGCATGCAATGTGGAGAATTCAAGAAATACTTTTTTACCCGTATAGTGTGCATCTAACGTCTGCAGGGCTCATAAAAGTTGTTTAAAAATCTTTTCAAGATTCTATAAGGCGACTGCAACTTGCAAGTTGTGTTTACCTTTTGTGGTTTAAGTTATTGCCCCTTGTCTGCCTCTTAGCTTGAAGTGAGGTAATAGACTTTACTGTACCAGTGCCGTGTGAGTACATGTGTGAGCTCATGTTGCAAAGCTGAGGCCCTTACACAAATCAGCGTATTGCCTGTGGTGAATGCTATAATCCTGAGCGCCCCGGGGCCCTAAAAGTACACACAAACACACACACACACACACTCATATTAACAGATGAACACACTCATGCATTATTAAAACCCAGTGACCCCAAACAAGACACACACATTGTTCTCTTTTCTGCTCCACAAACACACTCTATAAAGCCACATAAAAAGTATAGCCATGTTGTTATTTAAGCTTGGCTTGTGAATTGGTGTGAGTAACTGGGATCTCCACGGGGGAGGAAGATGATTGGATAACAAAAAGAAACTGTGTCTCGGTGGGATGAACCACTGGACAACAAGGAGGGCATTGCCTAGAGACCATCTGCTTTTAATGGGAATGTATTGTTTAGAGTATAATTGGCCACGCTATGTTACCATGTGCCCCTGTCTGACTTTTCTCTGACTGTGGAACACACACTCATACCAAAACCACAGTCATAAACATGGGTTTTTATAGGAAAAAGGAAAAAAATAGGTAGATGTAGAGCTGCTTAGAAGTCGTTCGCTGCTGCCATGAGCACCAACAAGGTGACAGCAAAACTCTGAATAAAATGAATGTTTGTCAGCACCACGTATGACTGCATGAGTGACGGGCAGGTATACGTGTTTGTGCATCTACTCTATGGTGGGGCCAAGTGCGGGGTGTGGTAATAGTAGTTATTCTGACATTGTAATTACTGTGAATCAGTGTACCCTCTGACAGTCTGCTGTGTCTGGAACCGATAGGCCCTCATTAGCCAGTTTTGGCCACAGACTGGCGAGTTTTGAGTGAATGGAGCTCTGTTTAATGCCCCCCCCCCACACCCCAACACACACATACACACACACACAAACTTGTCCACAGATGTAGCTTCTCTTGGAACAAAGTTGGATTGGGCAGGCATGCCACAACATTGGTGGTTTGGCTGTACAGTGCCAATTCATTTCTGCTAATTCACTGACGATCAGATTGAGATCACAAGTTTTTTTTTTTTTTTTGCTGAATTTTTGATCACAGCTGAAGTCAAATAAAAATTATGTCTTTTTGTTTTCAATGATTTCCCCTCCCTGACCTTTTTTTTTTCCTTCTTTCAGTTCCTGCTGCAGAGCCCATCGAATATGCACAGTTTCCCTTCTACCTCAACGGGCTCCGGGAGACGCCCCAGTTTGTGGAGGCCATCGAGAGCGTGCGTGCCATCTGCAGCAATTACAGCCGGCAGGGCCTGCCCTCCTACCCCAACGGCTACCCTTTCCTGTTCTGGGAACAGTACGTTAGTCTGCGCCACTGGCTTCTGCTGTCCATCAGTGTGGTGCTCGCCTGCACCTTCCTGGTCTGCGCCCTTTTCCTGCTCAACCCGTGGACCGCCGGCATTATAGTGAGTATTACAAGCAACGAGACCACAGACGCGCTCAACTTATGTGGTTGGACGTTGCTAGATAAATGGACACACACGTTCTTCCATTGAGGGACATTTTTCTCCCAAGTTTATTTAGATTATGGACTTTATCCCTAAGTGCTCTTCTTCTCAACACTGAGAGAAAAAGCTACTTTCTCTTAATAAAAGTACAATTTCTCCAGCTTCTTAAGTTATATCCTGTTTTGTGTGGTCTAAAAAACATGTCCGAGGGAGAGGCTCTGTGAGTTAAGTGCTGCTGTGTGTTGCTAAATCCTCAGCCACTAATGTTTATCCTATGCTGTTTTGTTAGGACCAGTCTGTTTAGTCTACCCCAACGCTCCCAGACATCGGTGCCGAAATTAATGGGGAGAGGATACAAAGTTACTCCAGCAACTAGCTCCCACTCTAAACCTTTAAAAAGAGTCATTTTCCATCCCCCACTTGTGTCCTCTCCAGATCCGCTCACTCGAGGAGTTTCCAAGGACACAACAAGCAGCCATTTACATTTTCACTTTGAGCGTTCACGGGCTTGTTTATACTTGTACGAATACTGCCTGGATGTGTAAACATGCAGGGACATAAGTCACACAGAAACACACACACACACAGCTCCCTGGGTTCTTTCTCTGGCAGGTTGTATTTTCTAACAAGCAGTGGCCAGGCCACCTGAGCTTTAAAGACGAGGAAGGAGAGGAATTCATGTTCATCCTTCAGGCTTTACAAGCAAGATCAAAAGGCCGGTTATGGAGTGGTGTCAAGAACTAGACCTCAGGCAGTGTTTCAAGATCAAACCTTCAAGTCAAATTAAATGGTTCTTGTCTTTGTTTACCGAGATTAGTTTCTGCTCCAATTGATATTTAGTCCTATGGAGAGTAGGTATGAGACTTCATCGAGGCGATATAATGAGTTATCACTCCTGATCTTTTTGCCTCCTGTTCATAATCTTTATTTTTATAAAACAATTCTAACAATTTCAACTTAGAAATTCATACCATTTAATATGTAAAAGAACCCTAATTTCTTAAGATCCGAAAGTGGATTGGTCTGCTTCAATTTTTTTCTGATCCAAAATTTCTCTCCGTATATCAGCCAATAAATAATCAGCTTACCCAAGATGAACTTCAGAAAAAGTGTAGCCAGTACCACACGCTAGTACCCCTCGTGGACACCTACACACTCGTGCACTACTACTACTTCCCCTGCCCACAGCAGCACTGTTCAAAGGATTTGGGCCCCCGTGAAACCTGACACCTGTCAGCTGATATCGGCATTTACTCCCAGCTCCAGTCCTGCTCTGCTCTACAGCCTCCACACTTCCACACACGCACCGACCCACACACACTTTTCACACACATCTATGGTTACTACTTATCACATCTACACGACAGAGGCGCATATGTATTTTCCCTCGTGTGTTATTGCCACCGCCCCTTTCATGTTTTCAGTGAAAGTCTGGGACAACTGTAAATTCAGATTTCTTACAGAGGCTTTCCTCCTCATCCTCAGGTGTTGGTGCTTTCTCTCATGACTGTGGAGCTGTTCGGCTTCATGGGTCTGATGGGGATCAAGCTGAGTGCCGTCCCTGTTGTCATTCTCATTGCCTCTGTAGGCATCGGAGTGGAGTTCACTGTCCATGTGGCCCTGGTAGGTATAAAGAAATAGCAATAAATCCAGTCAGTTTGTTCTCTCTTACCAGTTCTTTTTCATGTCTAATACTTAAAGATGTTTTTTTTCAGCTGAATGGTTTTGGGATAAGTGAATAAAGTTGAGTGTGAGAATTAAAAGTGTATTTTTCTGTGCCATAGGCATTCCTGACAGCCATAGGGGACCGTCACAAGCGAGCGGTGCTGGCATTGGAGCACATGTTCGCCCCGGTGCTCGACGGAGCCTTTTCCACTTTGTTAGGTGTCCTAATGCTCGCAGGATCGGAGTTTGACTTCATCGTCAGGTGAGTCCTAAAGCAAATCTTGGAAGAACCTCTCGCATTAAGTCTCAGTATAGCACTTTAAAGGGGATCGTATGGCGGGACAGTCCATCGAGACCATGCCTCGACCTGCATGTCACAGGAATCCACCCAGTACACCAGTCGTGCATGAAGGCTTCCATCTTTCCTTGTTTCTTCCCACAATTTCTTTGTTTTCAACCCACATAATTGTTGCTTACTGCCTCTCGTTAAACTTCACCCACTTCCCAGTTTGGCGTCCCTGTATTTATTCTTATTTTGGGCGGGAGATCTAAAAAATTGGTGGAGGGGGGTGGTTCTCTTTTTTGTTCATTCTTCCTTTCATCGTGTCTTTCTCTTCATCCTAATATTTCTCATGCCTGAAACAGTAGAGACGACCAGGGATAGGATATAAGGCTCGAGGTGAGGAGAATTTGGAGTAGGGGGATGGCTTGAAGGGAGCTGACAGAGGAGCAGAGAGAGAAGAAAGTGGGGAAGTAAAAAGAGGAAACGCAGGAAAATCCTCTGGCTTTTGCAATATCCTTCAACTAGTTTATCTGCCCCCACCTGACATTTCTATGCATGGGAGAAGCGGGGTGGGGGTGTAAGGAAATAGTCGTGGAAAGACAGCAGATTTGGAAATTAAAAAACAAACTATGGAGCCTGTGTTGGTGGCTTCTCCTCTGGTATTCTTTGTGAGCTGCACGCGAATCATTTTTTAACACTGAAGAATAATCCATGCATAAAGTGTCCTAACATGCACACGTTCTTAGTTGCAGTTTTTTTGTATAATTTGGTTGACCTGCACTGCACGCGTTCAACTCCCTGTGATCTGCAATCACACCGCTGTGCCATATGCGGAGGCCTCAGCTCCTATACGTGGACTTAGACAATTACACACAGTTCCCCACATATGGACGCAAACTCAGCCAACCTGCTCCCTGACCCTTTAATCACTGGGGTCAATGGTGGCATGCTTGCAAGTGAGAGCTCGCATATGCACATGCTTGAAAAAGACGCATACAAACGCACAAACTTCACAAGCCCCAGAGACCTCCTCGCCTCACCTCCAGTAGTGTGCCGTGCTCTGGTTTCTGACTCAGTCCGGAGCCTCCTTTTTAAAGGTTCTGCTGTTTTTTGAGCAAACAAAGCTAGCGCCCCAAGACAGTACAATAACAACAGGCCCAGCTCGTATTTTGTAGCTTGTGCCGAAATAAATGTTTCCCCAACTTTCTCCGTGAGCCCTGCGAATGTTTTCAGTGTAAACAGCCAGGCGGGCATTCGGCCTGGTATGTGGCCTGCATGCATGCATGTTTACAGTGCACGTGTGTGCATATGTGTGTGTCCAGAGGTGACGTAGTGTTTAGACATGCTGACCGTACAGATGGACGCGTTGATCTTCAAAAGCAGTTCTGATTATGCTTTTACAGTGGATGAAAGATGCATGTTTTTTATGGAAGTTTACCAGGGAACAATCTAAGGGCCATTATAGTTTTGTCTGTCAGTATCTGTTAAATTTTTTCTAGAAAAATCTGCTCATCATCCTGCAGCAAATCTATTTAACATTTTAAATAAAAAGATCAATTATTGTTTTTAAATAAATGGTCGTAGATAAAGTTCAACAATGAATATTTGGTCTTGACGGATACCCAGCATTCCACTCTGTTCTTTAATCTTTAATGGATCATCACCTGCAGCCATCACAAAATGAGCTGCAATGTAAAAAATTTTTCCCTCTGATCCAAAAAAATGGCCTTTAATAGCGTTTTGCCAATGTTTTTTGCAGGTAGATGTGAGATAGAAAGGTCAGCTCTGATCAAGAACTTGAGGTGACCACAGGTGCCCATTGAATAATGTCTGTGGTAATCCCATAATGACAATCACTACTAAAATGTAATTAATTTGCTCATTGAGGAGAACTTGGATATAGATGTCATTCTCCACCTCCAACTCACAGTCATAGTCAGGACATCAAATCCAAATGTGAAGCGCTAAAGAGTGGGTGGGTTGTCTGAGTGTCCCTGATAACCTGGGAGCTTCCTATTGGAGAACCAATGAGGAGAGCCCAGCGGTAATGAAGGAGGCTAGCCTGGAGAGGGAGAGGTTTAGAGCGGAGATTTGGAGGGGTCTCACCTGATACATTGAAGATTTAATTAGACGGAGGGGATTGTGGAGAGGCCGGGAATTTCACAGAAGCTTAGCTGGAAGGTAGGGAGAGAAAAGCGAGGTGGTGAAAATAGAAAAAGAAATAAAAGAGAGGGAGAGAGGCCGGGGAGGGGTGGTGCTCTGAGGGTCCCTTTCTCTTCCTCCTAGACTAAATTGTTTAAATTCTATACCCTTCACTTCATCTGTTTGCTCCTCGCTTTCTCTTTTTCTTTTTTCTTTTTTTTTTAAAGAGGGAAGAGGAGGGAAGAGAGGCCCCCCTCCCCCATTCCCCCTATGTCCCCCACTCTACCCTCTCTTACCCCCTCCTTTCACATTCCTCTCTGCTTTGTTTTCCTCATGTTTGCTTATACACCACACACCCAAGAGAGTACCCTCACCCCCAATAACCCACCACCCCCACCCACCTCTTTTTTCTTTTTTTCCTTTTCTCTCCTGTCTTTGAATTAACCAGCTCTGGCTAATTATACTCACCCTTTCTTTTCTCTCTGCGGCTTCTTAAAGACTAACCCTCTTTGGCAGGCCTTAGACACATGCAAGGTACCGTTCTGTCCTGCTCCTCAAAACCACATTGCATGCCTGCTTGTCTGTGGGGGGTTTATACATGTGTGTTTGTTTGGAGAGTGGCTTTTTGGAAGTATTATTTTGGGCATGCATAATGGTTGATCTTGCACATGTCTCTCCTCGTCTAAGCCTCTGTGGTCTGCACAGGTATTTCTCTGTTTCTTCACATCTGTCTGTGTTACTCTCAGCAAAACCAAAAATTCCAGTTTTTTTCCATCTCTTTGTTTTTAGCTTATAGTTTGTATTACATTTGATTTTTTCACAGACAAGTTAGTGAAAATGCATGCTCTGTTCTTGGAGCTGACATATGATTTTATTCCCAGTAGTAAACTCCTTGTGTGGTTTGTATTGCAGGTATTTCTTTGCAGTGTTAGCCATTCTAACAGTTCTTGGAGTACTGAATGGATTGGTTCTCCTCCCAGTATTATTGTCCTACTTTGGACCCTATCCAGAGGTGAGATAAAAAAAAAAAAAAAAACTTTAAGAAAATACTCTCACTTGAAAGAGTTGGCTTTTTAAAACGATTTTACTCCATCTCTGCTCAGGTATCGCCGGCTGACGGCCGTAGTCGCTTACCTACCCCCTCGTCAGAGGCCCCCCCTCAGGTGGTTCACTTCTCAGTCCGTCCTCAGCCCACCGCCGGGGCCACCGCCGCCGCCTCCGGTGCAGCCTCAGACTCGTCAGACTCCGAGTACAGCTCCAACACCACGGCATCCGGAGTCAGCCAGGAGGTGCATAATTACAACCTGCACTCGCAGAGAGGCCAACCTCGAGCAGAGGAGCAGCAGTACCACCTCCAGTCAGGCAGGGGCAGAGCAGCGAGGGCCGAGGAAGGAAGACGAGCAGGACCGGGACATAGACGCTCGGCCAAACAGTCTGACCCCCCGGCCTACACCGTGTCCTCGGTAGGGAAATATCTCTCATCAATTTGCCTGTCAGATTTCTGTTGCTTTTTTTCTAAATGTATTTACTATTTCCTTGTTTTCCAGTCTGTACCCTCTCAGGGTTGTGATCCTGGGGTCCAGAATGGGTCCACTCAGCGCAACAGCAGTCGGGACCCCAGGAGTCAGCAGCACTGGCAGGGCCCCCCCCCAGCCCGCCCGCGCACGGACGCTTTTGAAACTGCTACTGAGGCTGGGGGCGCTCATGGCACCCACGGCCACAGAGAACACACGGCAGACCACAGAGGCCACCCGTCCCACAACCCGCCGCCCACTCAGCCACCCCTGCACCACCACCCCAACCCCGCCCCGTTCTGCCAGCCCATAACCACGGTGACGGCGTCGGCCTCGGTCACCGTGGCCGTTCACCCGCCGCCCCCCCTGTCCAGCCAGAGCCCAGCCTCTTCCTACCCAGCATACACTGCAGCAGACAGTTACCGGCCACAGCACCCAGAAGAAACGGAGCCCGCCTTCCAGGACCCACACGTGCCACTGTACAGCCACACGGGCTCCAGAAGGGTCAAGGTGGAGGCCATGGAGCTCCAGGATCTGGAGTTCACGGCAGCTGAGAGCAACAGTGGCAGGCGGGCCAGCTGAGGCCAGAATTCTGAACGAATCCGTAAAACAAAGCTGCCCGTTTCGGTTCATCTTAAAATACTAAAAGATACACACCGGTTTTTTATTTCAAGTCGTGGAGAACAGAAGCACAATGGCCAAAGATGGACTTCCCTGTACTATGAAGCAGCTGACGCAGCTTGGCACAGCCCCCGCCCATCGTAACCCGACGTCACTTCCTCTGATCAGCGACAAACTTGCCAGTGCTGCCATAATGGTGCTTATTGTTACTGTAACCTAGTGGACTATTTCCTTAGATATTTCTATATATATTTAAAAGATGTATACATATGTAAATATGAACAAAAAGTAGGTATAATTTTAGGAGCTGTACAACTCCTCATCGTAACAGACTGGGGCTGCCATTCTATATGGTTTGTGTGTTTGTGTGCGTGTGTGTGTGTGTTTGATAAAGTAAATGAGTGCACATGTATGAGGGAAATGCATATCTCATTACTGTTCATTGATCTGTGGATCTGTGCCATTAGGAAGCTTCATATAGCCAATTTACCTGTCAGCATTTACTGTTGCTGCTTGAAATATTTTCATTCTAGTATACATTTATAATTCTATGCAAATGTCTCTTTAAACGGAAGTTGTGTGCCTAGAAATATGCATGTGTGTGCATGTGAGGATGGAATGTGTAGGGCTGTGTAATGAATGTGAATCAGTCCCAATGTTTTCTGGCCTTTTCATCAAATACATCCTCAGAACAGACTTAGCATTTACACTCATTTAAAACATGAGGAAAATTGTTAGAGCAAAGCTATGTTATATATGTGTGTATGGTGGTGTGTACGTGTGTTTGCGAGAGTGTCTGCGAGAGTTTTATTATTGTATAAAGGTACGCTTGTATAACTATTAATTTTCTTTATCACAAACCTGTGGTAGTTATGAAACAGTTACTGTTTTAACTTGACACGCCATGCGTGCTATTTAAGATGAACTGATATGAAGACATTTTAAAAGCTGTTTTGTTTCTGTCGTATTTTTTGTTTTTTTTTGTTTTATTTGTTTGTTTGTTTTCTTTTTTGTGTTATCACTTAGGAACCTGTTTCTGCACTCAGCTTTTTTTTTACCATTGTCTGTTAGGCTGGTTGTATATTACTGTAAGAGGTTATTTTATGTCTCATGATAGGCTCGAAGCAGGATCTGTCCTGCATACTGACATATGAGCAGTAAACCCACCTCAGAAATTCACTCTACCTTTACAGGGACCTTCACATTACTGATTTTTTCGAACAGGGTCAAAACAGGGTGCTAACTCTGTGCCTTAAGTGGCTGTGTCTTGTGGATAAGCTAAAGCCCAGACTGTATACTGTATGACCCGATTTAAACATGGCACTTGACTGCATTTCATTCACAGGAATATCTCTCCGGAAGTAACTCTTTCTGTTTGTCCAATAAGCTAGACCATGCATGTGGCTGTGGCCTAAGTCTGACATGGCCAGACATCGTGCTCTGTATGTGTCAGAACGTGTGTGTTAGTGTAACCGTGTATGCGTAAGTCCATCTTTTTGGTCTTAAAGGCCCCGCGTTAGTGACATCGAGGACAACTGGTGCTAGTTTGGCCACAGCTGTCCTCACTGACCTCAGCTCATAAAAATCCACGACATAATGCTGACACTAATTGGACGTCTCCTCTCAGCTGCTAAATTGCACAGGCCAGAGCCCCCGCGTGTGTGTGTGTGGGGGGGGTCAGTGTTTTTATTCCGCCGGCCCTCCTCCCCACCAGCAGCGGCCAGTTTATTGTCTTCATGTGTCAGTGCCAGCAGGCATACCTGTAATCTCCACAGGCCCCTTTGGCCAGCCAACACACTCCCTCCTCACCACCGTTTTTACACTCTCACTTCCTGTTGAACTTGTAGCTCTTCCCAGAGGTCTTTGTAGTTTTCCTCTCCTCGTTAACCAAGTTACATCAGCTGCTTGCATGAAATAGGTTATTCTGTTTGTTTAATTTAGATTTCTCCGGTTGTCACATTGGCAGTTGCGGGAAGAATCCTAGCTGGCAACTATTTTATTCATTTCTAAGTGTTTTTGTTTGTTTTTGTTCAGTTGTGATATTTATAATTTTGTAATATGAAATATGTGGGTTTTTTCTTTCATTGTTGTGATGCCAGTGGATAACAAATGCAGGGATTTTTATGTCTATTGAAAAAAAAACACTATTACAGTTTAATGTTTTTTACATTAATGGTGTCTGATCTGTATAAAGTGCTTACTAATGTTAAATAGGAAAAAAAAGAGTATATAACATTTTACACTACAGGTCTCATCATAGCTCTTAGAGGATTTTAAAAGGAAAAAAAAACTTTTTTTTCTTCCAGACTGCCATTTTGGTCTTGGTAGGTGTGGATTTGTGCTGTTTTCAGTTACAAAGATAAATGTATGCCATATAATTTATTTATATGAAAATTTATTTTTGTAGTGTACATAGTAGTTGTCAAGGTATTTGACAGAAGTATATTTCTAAAGAGTTTATATGTAATGATATACCGTAACAGAAAAAAAGCCTTAAGGTGCACACTTTCATTGCTAACTGTCTTGTGAGACAACATTGACACCTCCTCTTCAGTATTATGTTCCAATCCTTGGAGAGAGACAGCTGTTTTCTATGGGTTTGTCAGAAGCTAGCCATGAAAGTAGAACATTGTACTAGCTCTCTAAATATTAATGTTCAAACACTGATAGAGTTCTAACAAATAAAAATATAACTTATTTGTCTCTTTGTTCATAACTTTAATAAATTGAAACTTAAAAAGATTGTCGTTGTTTGTCTGCGAGTTTATCGTTCAACGGGTAAAATGAACCTCCTCCTTATTAAATGCCTCTTTCCTCCCGTCGCTCCACTCTTGTTCCAGCACATCCTATGGTGTAAAACACTGACATTTGGCTTGGAACAGCAGTCCTCCCCCTAAAAAGCCCACCCAGCTCCACCCCTGCAGCCCCCACCTCCACTACCTTTGCCATATGATTTTGATTGACAGCTTTATAGACTGCAAGGAAATTGGTTGTAGTTACAATACAGCTGGCCTGTTCGGAGTAATGAAAAAGGGCATGTGGCCTTGAGCTTGCTGCTTTGACGCTGAAAGAGTGAGAATACCTTGTCAGCTGCATAGGTGGCAGCTATTTATTTTCATACTCCGGGAATTCTGAGAGGAAAACATTACAGGCAACCTGCAGTAAAGTGTCCCTGTACCTCATCGCTATAAAAAGTGCTGTTTTACCCAAACCACAGCGTCACCCTGAACCTCAGCAAGGCCAACGCACTCACTGACCCTGGATCAAGAGGAAGAGGCTGGCAGTAGGCAATAAAAGGCAATAAAAAGGCAATAAAAGCACCTAGTATACCTGTTTGCTGTCCAACCAGTGGAAAGAGGCAGGATGACATCTTACAAATGAGCGGGCGAGTTTGCAAAGCCCGCTGCATGGGTGTTACTCTCCGTCTTTTGATCTTCTCTAACTGGACATGACTGTTTTATTTTGTTGTGTAAAAGCGGAGAAAATGGAAAAAGTGATATTGATGTTGCCTTGGCAGATTGTTATGCAAAAGTGAAAACATGGATATGCAACTAAAAAAAACAAAACACATGAGGATTCTTTTCTGCTTTTGCTGTCAAAGCAAATACATCCTCAGCGTTAAAAAGAAAGAGCCAGCCCAATTGCAGGTGACATGGTTCACTGAGTTGTAATGACGTTAAGATCTCTTTAACCAGTACTCCCCTCATCTGCTGGAGGACCTCAGGTCACCGAACCAGCACAACCCCCTCCGCTGGCCCTACCTTACCCTTTACCCCCCTTCACCCTTTGTCTCCTCAAAAGCACATATGCAAGCAAGCACGCTCCTAATGGCCATCTTATTCTGAAGAGTGCTTCACTGAAACTAACAAGGTCCAGGTTGTCAATGAATGAGTGCTTCCGGTACCTGTTCCCCTCAGAAAGGGACAAGAGGGGAGGAAAGACTGAGAGAGCACTAAAGAGGATGCAGTTAAGAACATTCTTCTCTCCATATGTAGCAAAGTCCCCTGCAGTGGCTCTTAGCACAATCTCGGTGACAATAGACTGGAAACACAGGCAAACTAGTCTTTCCATTCTTCTAATTTTTTTAGCTTTTTCTTCTTATCTCCAACCTGCATTTGTACAAAGGCAAGAACTCAAAGCAATTTCTCTGCTCCAGTCCTTCTTTTCCACTCTTCTCTCTTCCACCCTCTCTCAATCCCTCACTTATTCCCCTGAAAGGCTTGTCCATCATCACCTGCCGGCAGAGCTAAACCCTCTAAGTGTATACTCTGCTCTACATGAATGATTGCTCTGTTGACATGACTGCAAGGGACACACACATACACACGCAATCACTCCCACCAGATCCAGCGATTGATTTGCACATTCTTTATAAAAGGGGAGTTGAAGAATAAATCTACAGGAAACATCTCATGGTGTGTTGATATGACCCAGATCCAGACAAATGGGGGTTTTACCTTTGAGGCCTTAGAGAGACCTTGAAAATCATTCACCGTGAACCATGCTTACCTCTGCGACTGTGTTTGTCTGTGCGTGTGTGCTCAAAACAACATACTTAAGAACATGAAATGCTAGCCAGACTGAAGTCCAAGCTGCTGGGGATTCGTAAATAGACGATTAACGTGACTATAAATGATTGTAGAGAGAATAAAGGATGAACATATCCACATACGTGTTTCATATTTTAGGGATGGGGAATTAAAATGGCTGTGAACAACTTGTATCTTGTACCTATGTTTTTATATATTTGTTTATATGTGATTATATTATATCTTTAAAAGGAATTAAGGATTCATTTTTTGGACACAGAAAAAATAATTACATATACCTTACCAGCTATGAGGGGATAACTTTGCATATACAGAGGAAACAAGAGGATATTTTGAAAAATTTAAAAAATGACAAAACAGCGTTGATATTTTTTGTTTTTTATCTTCAAATAATCAGTTGAGATATTCTTTGAATAACAGAACTTGAAGTTAATAAATTCAAGTAAGTGTAATTATCAAGGTATACATATTTGTCTCTGGTTTAGTAATTTTCTGAGAGCTGTTACACTTAAACTTAGCCGACTTTTTTTATCTCCTCAAGTGGGTAGACCAGAAAAACGTTCATTCAGATTGTTCCAGTGGTTTGAATTATAAAAGGACAGAATAAAAAAAATAGATCTGCAGGTTTTGCCCATTAATTACAAGACAATATAAGAATCGTAATGAAGAATATAGATCCTTAGCATTTAGAAGTCTCTTGAAACATTGGGTGTGCACCATCGCTGTAAATTAGACAAGGTTGTGACAATATGGAATAATTCTTTCACAGAAGATGAGAAATATCGAGTGGAAATTTCATTAGAATGGTTGTTTGCATGAATTTCAATTGTGACTTTTTAAGTTTTGACCCAATGAATTTCACTCTATCTGAAAAATCATGATGACACATTCCAAATGAACTAAATTGAAAAACAACACATTTAAATATTTATAGTTATGCTAAATCATAGGTATGTAGTGCTGTTAAAATCCCAATATATAAACAAATTGTACATTTGAGTGTGTGTATCTTGATCTCTGTATTTTCTTTGCATTTAGTGAAAATGCACCCACAATAAGATATAAAGTCTGACTTCCTTCTCTTTCAGTACTAGCTTTTAAATGTATAAATTTGGATACCATTTTGGATCAGAAATATGTTTTCGTTGCCAAATTACCTTTCTTTCAAGGATGTGACTGTTGAACACAGGTGTGTTCAACTCCAGGCATTCCAACAAATTATTAAGCACAAAACTGCTGCTTTCCAGGAACAAGACAGAAAACCCCATCCAAATCCAAGAAACAGCTGACATGATTCACAACAAACTAAGACGCATTCAAATGTTTCTACTGTGAGACACACTCAAAGTCACAGATGTAATATCTTCCACAGCTTCCATCTCAATAAAAATATATCAAGTATTGTGCCAATGTTTCTATTACTGCTGGCTATTGTCTTTCCGTTCTGACACCGCTAACAACATGGTGATGTGTGGCTATGGTGTCTATCTCCAGCCATCACAGTCCAATATTTCTTCTGAACACCCTTGAATCTTCAGATTTATGGCTTTGATTTTTACATGAAAAGAAGAAATAATCTATAGAGTGAGCCAGCCGGTGAAGATTAGCAAAATAACAGGCCTAATCAAGTTATAGAGTAGGGGCAGAGAAAAGACTAGAAGTTTAGACAGATGGAAAACTGCGGGTGGAAAAGGGTGAAAGCGGGGGTGGAGGATGGTTGATGGTGGATGGGAGTAGCCGTATGAGAGTAATTATAATGACTGATGTTGTTTACTCCCATTTCCCCTCGCATCATTTATTCTGCAGAGGTGGAAAACCCACCCGCTCTTTCTTTGCCATACAAGCGAGTGCTGCAGAGCTGTGCCAAGCCATGTCATGATCTCCCTCTCTTCCGCTAATACTGGAAACATTTACACTGCGCTGAGCTTTCTACACTCGTTCACATATATTCTTCTCCGATCTGACTTCAGAGATATTGTCTTTTTCTTCACTTTTGATTGGACACTATTGATATTTTCTCTATTTTTTTTTCTTTCCTGCTGTATTGACATGGGTATGTGTGAGTGCACAGAGCATATGTAAGATGTTAGCATGATCTACAGCCATTTACACTGGGGTTGACATACTGAGGTTGGATGCTGTTATGCTTTCCTCCTTTTGTTTAATGTGGTCCTGGTGGCATGCACACACCAAACAAGCATACACCACCCACCTCTTTGTTTAAACTGCACAGTTGATCTCTGCCAGCAAACATGCAACATGTATGGAAATGGATGCGTCATCTTAAGAAAAAGGGGGACAGAAAAGTTAGAAAATTAGAGACACACACCTAAACATTTTGATCTGAGACTTTCTAAAACCAAACTGGAGCATGATAATCACATGAAACTTAAGGGTAAAGATGTGATTTTTGAACTCAGGATCATAATGGAAATAATAGGAATAACAGAACAAATGACTAAAGGTACAATAAATTTCAGATTCTTTCCTGGGTGATGATGGTTATCACTTTGGAATTTGCTAATGATCTGCCCATTCACAAAGAGGCGAAGAGCAGAGAAATATTTTTCCCGTTCCCTCTGTGCTTATTGATTCTGGCACCATGACAGATGCCTAATGAGGAACAGGGCTGCAAGAAAGCTCTGAGAACCCCAGTGGGAGACTTAGTCTGTGTAAATGCACGGACACATGCACAGAAAATATATAGTGTGCTGATATGAGAAGTGAATGAACAAAAATGAGTTTCTATACTGTTAACAGACACAGAGTGAAAAGATTATATTAGACTTCAACAACAATAACACTGGCCTTCACTGACAGAGCGAAGCTCTCCTGAGTTATATTTCACATGGTAATGAGAATGCAAACTTTACCCAAGTTAAGTGTAGATTTGAATACTGAAATTAAGGAGCGAAGAGAATGCAGTAAGGTAACATATGATAACGATAGGTATGACAATAAAAAGAACAGCAAAAGTAATAAAAATGATAACACTAACATGTACTCTGAGAGGTATTTCTTGATGTTGCTCAGCCTTACAACTTTTCTTCTCCACCATCTAATCCCAACTCTCCCATCCTTTCTTTACTCTCAGATCATTCTTTACAAAAAACAGTTTTCTTGCTTCTTTATTGGTCTCTGTTAGTGATTAGTAACTTAAAATTTAAACTGACACCAGAAGTTATGCCCGAA